GTATGAGTCGACCTTCCCCCCCCCCCCCCCCCCCCCCAGCAGGGATACAGACAGAAGCAAAAACCCCTTTTTTAGTAAAGCAAAGCTAGCTATACACTGGTAGATTTCTATGAACATTCATATGAAAAATCTCATCAGAGCATTTGATAATGCCATTGAGACTTGATTAATGTCGTTCGAAATGTCATTTGATTTTTAACATTCTGTTTTGGTATGGAGTTTCCTAAATGAAAATCGCATTCACTGTAAGAATTTTGTTTGTTGAAGAAAGAAAAAATTTCCATCCTGCTCCTTTGATTCTCACTACGGTCGAAAATGATAGTCAATTTGACCCTTATTCAAACAAAAACATATTGGTGTATGGTCAGCTTAAGGAAGGGTTAAACTTTTGAAAAAAAAATGTTTATTGCCCTCCGTGCCTTTCTATATTGGTGTCTAACAACCCCTCCCCTGTTTTATGTATAGGTGTCACAAGAATAGGAAGTGCCCCCCCATGGGGGCACAGAAATAAAAAACCTGACCGAAATTTTAACTCTTAATCCTCTGTCCAAAACTAAAGAGAAGTATTTTACCTAGATTTAGATATTTAAATCTTTTTGTGCATTGAGCAAGCAGCTTCATGCAGCACAGTGTCTAACACCCTGAAAAAAGTTGTCCACCCCCTGCACTACCTTATCTTTACAGCAGATCTTAAAGAATTAAAATGTAAAAAATGTTGTCTCCCAAATGCCAACCTTGATTAGCTATAATATGTTGAGAAGAAGAAATTGCTTGTTAGAGGTATAGTGACACCATAAACCGTTTTATTTTGTTTAACGTAAAGGGTTGCTGTGTATTTTGTGTATTCTATTTGTCCAGTGTAGAGGTAAATAGTTCTAGGGAGAGTGCTTTTAAAGAGCTGGTCCACTGAAAACTGATGTTTCCGTTATAGATAAAGTTTAGTCACCCATGGACTTCCTATAGCTCTTGTGGATTACAGAAGCAAGATGTTTCTGCCTTCCTTTCCAAATTTTGTTCCTTTGAAGTGTTTACCCTGATCTTGGAGTGTTCCCCTCCTCTGCTGCAATCCCAAAAGAGTTAGTGTAATACTTGTGCGCAGCCCTGGGAGCCTAAGATCAAAGATCTTGCTGCTCTTATCCCCAAAGCATTAAAATAAACTATTAGGAGGTTTAACATCCCAACATGTGCCAGTTTTGAGTTGACTGATCATTTTAATAATATAATGCACATGTCAAAATGTTACCATTATTCCTATTGTCCTGTATGGCTATGTTTTGTTGAAAACCTAACTCCAGTCAAAATGTTTTGTTTAGTTTTGTATAGGTGTTAAAACACCTCTTTGCACTTTGCAGAAGTTTCCCCCTAGTTTAGTGAATTAGGTGATGTTCTACTGACTTCTATCATGCAATCATGTGCAAGCAAAAACACAGTTTTTTTTTTATTTTTCTCGCACATGATTGGGGTATTCTTTGCAAAGTGAAATGTAACCACATTCACAAAGCTAAGAGAAACTTCCCCAGCAAAGTGCAAATCTCCTTGCAAAGTAAACACACATTTTGCCTTGACTAAATCAACCCCTTTAAGTCAAGTTGCCTGCCCCCTCCTTTACTAGTGGCCAATGGCAGGCTGCTGCAACGATAGGCTGGAGAGTGTGTTCCACACACTGAAATGTACATGCATCTCAAATGGGTGTACACAGCATGCATTCTCCATGCCCCTGAGCATTACCAAAATGTCAAGGCTGAAAGTAAGTATTGAGCAGAAGAGCCCAGAACTTAAAAAAACATATACTTTTCTTTGCATGTATCACAAGAAGAACATTATCTGCTCACTTTGATGCTGCAGCACACCTACCTTGTCCTATGGCATCCATGCTTGGTATAAGCATTCCTACATTTTCCCGCAACACAACCCACAGGAATCTTAATATTATAATACGAATATAAAACTTACAAAGTAAGAATATGAACACTAGTCAACTATGTGCAATAATTGGTCTATTGTGCATTGTGGTGTTCCTTCAGTAAGGTTGCATGTTTCCAAAAGCTAAGGATTAAGGATACAATGTTGCCATTGTAAGGATACAAGGATACAATTGTGCTGCAAGTTTGATAATGACTTGCTAAACTATTGCAGACTTGCCAAGCTTCACAATTTTGTTGCACAATTACAGCAAGTCTGCATTGCAAGTCTCCAGACCAGCGAGCTTGCAGAGCTCTTGCTAAGACCTGTAGGACCCTTGCTGTAGACTTGCCAAGCAAATTTGCTACAAATTCAAAAAGTGTCAACTAGAACTTGTACTGCAAGTGTTCTGCAGGTCTACAACTTGCCAGGAATGTGTGCAGCAAGTTAACAAGAATTACAATTTAACCCTGACACAAGTTTGTGGCAAGTTATCCTTGCTATCTGGGATGATGACATCCTTTTTTGCTTACTTGTTGCTCTTAATGCCACCTCACTCCAGTGATGGGTACTCCTTACATAAAACTAATTGACATTTCCCTAATCCAATGCCTGCTTCTAAAAAAACTGCAAAGACACTGCTCCCCATTGCCTCCATTTTATCTTGTGCAGCTCTAAAGTCCTTCAAATGACTAAATGTATCTAACCCAATGCAAGGGTGTGTTTGTCAACTGCAGTGGCCAATCTTTGACCAACATTACATAGTTCTTCTCATGCTATGTAAAAAACAATCAGTTTTACAGGGTGGAGTACAGATACCACCTGCATTGTAAGTCTAGTGTTAGTGGTAAAGCTGCTTTTCATGGTGAGTGGGGCAATGTGTTAATTCTACTTGTGAATCTGTTTAAGTAATTTTGTCATATGTTTTCATTTTTTTATATCCCAGGATCCTTGAACTGCAACAGAATGGGGACATGGACCTATTAAAGCATAAATGGTGGCCACGTAATGGACACTGTGACCTTTTTTCATCAGTAGAACCGAAACAAAAAGGAAGTCCCCTGGACATTAAAAGCTTCGCTGGGGTGTTCCTTATATTGGCAGCTGGTGTTGTTCTGTCATGTTTCATAGCAATGGTGGAGACCTGGTGGAGCAAGAAAAAAGGATCCAGAGTACCTTCCAAAGAGGTAACTATTTACACTGATGTGATGCAGGAGAATTTTGTTCACTGACCAAGAGAAAGGGTAATACGATTTTATTTTAAGCAAGAACTCGGTTAGCCTTATTGTTCTTGACATGGGTACCACATCTGTCATAAATGTTTACTGTATCCTCTCTTAGCCTGTAATGTAAATGTTTAAAACAACAGCTTGAGATTCAGCATAAACTAGTATCCAACTGCAAAGTAGGTCAGATGAATCAAATATTTAAAAATGTGATGAATTACCCAAAGCCTATTTCACATGCAGCCAGGAGAATCTAGTACATTTGGTTTCTACAATAATCCACAGTATTTGTTAGCAGTGCTGCCAAATAATTTTCTGGAGCCAAAAAGGAAGAAGTAAACAGATGCTTGAAATTATGACAGCCATATAGTAGCAGTGCATACTCTCAGCAGTATAATATGCTCCACTTCTCCCTTTTTACATACGTGATTAATGTGTGATCAAAAAAAATCAGGATATAAAACTGTCAATGAAAAGGTGCTAAAATATAAAGTAAACTGTCATTACAAGGGACATTATAATCACAATACCACCCCGGGTTTAAATCATGTTAATTCCTTAAAAAGTGCCTGTCAAGACATAAAGTGCTAGTGGCTTTGCTGACTTGATATTTCTTGTTTCAAAGCACATGAAGATGCCAACAAGGCTGAAATAAGCTTTTATGTGCAGTGCACACAAAATTAAAAAATTACAGAATGATCACTTAAAAGGGCTCATTGTAGTATGCATACAATCAAGCTATATCCAATCAGATTACAGTTTACAGCAGTATATGTTAGCTATGACATTTCCAATTTCTTCAATTGATTGAGTGCACTACTGGTGATAATGGGGCACCAGCGCCAATATGTTGCGATACGCATACAGGACCATCGGAAGTGCTTGCTATAACTTGTACTGATAGAAAGGGGAAAATACTTTCACAAGGTATGTACCAGATCTTATGATGTCCATTTTTATTGGGAACTCGTCCCATTGATGGTCACCATTGGACTTCTGATATCTGATATTTGATTACTTGATTTGGCTTACACTACATACAGCACCATTGCTTTTTATCAGTTTATATAAAGCCCACAATATTATTTTGTTTTTGAACTGTATGAAGAGTGTGATAAGCATAAAATTAGACAATGTTATTTTATATTTCAATCCCAGATTATAAACAGCTTAAAATAAAAAATAAAAAAAACCAGCACAAGTGACACAATAGAGAAAATGATGGTTTGTGCATGTCTGTGTGTTTTTCTTTATTATTTTTCTTTAATACCAGATGTCCCTTCAGCCAAACTTAGGCCAACTACATGGCATAAGACAAATTACATCATTATTAATATGGAATATGCTGCTCAGTTTTTTAATAGTCAGAGTGTAGAATAGCTTTGGCTGCAGCTGCTATTCAATCTGGTGACACAAGTGCTTAACAATAAATAGATTCAGAATTTAAATGACACTAACAACGTCTAGCGCTGATAATTTGTGTGAAATCTCAGCTTCCACAAAAAACTGTTACAAGCACAAGTAGCTTATGTTGTAAGTGCCAGAATAACTATGCATGGTAAGAAGTTTTAAAATTCTGAGTTTGTTGTCTAAAAAGAAAATGTAAACGTAAAATATTAGCTAACGGAGCCTTACAATATAAAATGTGTTTGTTTAAGGTGCTAGAAAAATATATATTTGACAAACAAATGTGAGATTATTTTATTACCTTAGCTAGTAGAGCATATTTCATAAAATTTTAATAAGTACAAGGCAGCCAGTGAGGGGTCAGCTTTCATCATTACAGTACATCAAATGAAAAACTGGTAAAGATTGTATAATGCCTAAGGAAGGAACATAATGTGTCCCGAAAGCTTATTAAATGCTAACTTAGGTTAGCATTTAATATATCATCAAAGATGATGAACATTTAAAGATATCATCAAACTTTATTTTTCCAATGTTGTAATACCTAAATTTCTTTTTTTTTTGTGTAAGCAATTCAAAAAGGAGAAACTAACATAAGTTACATTATTTAGGACTTGGAGTCCCTAGTACTTTAGTACATTCAGAGCATATTTCATTATATGTTATAAAGCACACAGTAGCCAATAAGGGATAAGCTCTAATCAATGCAGTAAAACAAAGGAAATATGATAGACTGTATAATACCTGAGAAAGAAGCCTGCATCTTTAATAACTTAAAGTGACACTAAACTCAAGAGTTAAACCTTAAAAATGCATTCAAGCACATAAACTATTCTAAAAAATGTAGCATATTTGTCTATCACTCAGTTGTAGATCATCAAATCATCTCTGAATTGGTGGTGACACTGTCCTTCCTTCTGGAGGGTGGCTATTCTGTTCCCCATGGTCCCTGTGTGTAATGTAGACACCGCTCCAAGATCACTCCCGTGATGGACTACAATCTCACATTTAGGGGTATATTCACGAAGCAGCCGAAAGATCTAGCCGTAGCTTTGGCCGATCCTTCGGCTAGCTTCGGCCCCAGGACCCCTTCGGTTCAGTAGAACTGAAGGGTTGCTGTACGGGCTATTCACTATAGCCCGTACAGCTCCCGAACTTGGCAGAGCAGCTCAGTCGAGGCGAACGCATATGCCTCAGCTTGGCTCAGCCACGCTGAAAGCCGACAGCCTGCTTCTGACAGCTGGGCGGAGCCAGCCGTGATCCTACAGCTGGCTCTGGCCACTTGCAGAAAGATCAGCGTCCCTGGTTACTAGCTAACCAGGGACACTGATCTCCAGGCAGCCTAACTCTCCCGGGCGCTCTGGGAGTCTCCCGCTCCCGGCCGCCAAGGAGAGAAACACTGCTTTCACGGAGCACTGCTTTCACGAAACACAGAGCCGTGTCATGATAGAAAAAATTAATAAATGTTGGCCATAGGAATGCATTGCTAGATTCCTATTGGCTATTTCAAATTGCAATAGCCAATAACAAACTAGCATTGCACCCGCCTTCTGCTGCAGTTGATTGAGCCCCCGGAGAGGTTTTTTTTTGACGGCAGCAGAACTGCCGGCCAATAGAAAACAGTTGGGCGGAGATAGCTGTCACTGCTAGCTCCGCACAATCATTTTCTATTTAATGTTTTCTTCTTTTTAAACAATTTTTCTGTTCTGCTCGGTAGCACAGAGGGACTGAGCAGAACAGCTGTGTCGAATACCGCTCAGCGGCATTCGGCTATTCACTCGCTGCTGTTCGGCATCTATAAGAATAGACTGAACAGCAGCGAGTAGCCGGCTTAGCTGATTCAGATGTTGGATCGGCTGAGTCGAACTCCTTCTGCACTTCGGGTCGGCCGAACATGCTGATTTCAGACGATATACGGCTGAAATCAGCCGTACCAGCCTGAAGTGAATAGCCGAACAGCGTTCGGCTTACTTCGCTTTAGGTCTGTCAATCACTCGGCTGCCTACGGCAGCTTAGTGAATAGACCCCTTTAGTTTACTAATTGGTATTGACATTGTAGTCCATCATGGGAGTGAGCTTGGAGTGGTGGCTACTTTCTAACACACACACAGGGACCATGGGGAACAAAAGTATCCACCCTCCAGAAGGAAGGACAGTGTCAACATCGATTCAGAGATGATTTCAGCATTTACAGCTGAGTGATACACAAATTAGATTAGGTTTTTTTGTTAATAGTTAAGGTACTTAAATGCATTTTTACGATTTAACTCCTGAGTTTAATGTCACTTTAAGTTAGCCAATACGGTGCTACATTTAATGCATGTTAATTTGGCTTAGCCAAAGGTTAATAAAGGGGGTTTTTTTTCATTTTCTTTACTGCTATCAGTTGCTTTAACTCGTGTCACCCCTTTGTTTTTCACATGAATAAAGCAGAGCAAATACAATGTAATAATAATTTTGTTACCTTGTATTTATAATGACATTTTCAGACACTTCCTGGAATTATCATTGTATGCAGCAGATGCTGCAGACATGGCGGTGCTATAGAGCAAGCCCCGGCTGTCATTTTGACAGCCAGGATTTGGTATAGCTACAGTGAGAGAAAAGTATTAGTGAAATCAGCAGTACCAGCCTGAAGTGAATAGCCGAACAGCGTTCGGCTCACTTCGCTTTAGGTCGGTCATTCACTCGGCTACCGCAGAGAAGTACACCCTGGTACTTCTCTTATTGCTTATATTTTTAGGGCTTATTTCTGCTGTCCAAGACCTGTAACTGGTTGAAATGAAAAAAAAAAGTAATAATTGGGTATAGTGTCGTAAGTGAAATTATTCATGGTGCTATGGCTAAAAAAAGGTTAATTTGCTAAAAGAAGAGCAGGCATTAATTACTACAGTAGACTTTCTTTGAGGGATCACATGTACACAACAATGTGCGTATGCATAGCAAGCACAAACCGTAAAAATATCTAGCAAATTTTAAACTCATGTTTAACACCTGTTTGGACAGTACCTTTTTTTTGTGCAATCTATTCCGAAAAGTTGTTGCAAGGGAACGCAAATGTCAATGTTATACCAGTGAATTAAATGAAAATACAGTTAAAAATAATGTGACAAGTATCATGACATATCAATAAGGAACAACATTTAAATGTCTTAGGAAAGCAGCAGGACAAAACTACCCATGCAACATGCTGTTGAAGAAAAAAAAGACATGTTTGGGTATTTATCACTCCATTCCAAACAACAAAGAATGAAATTGTATATGAACACTTGCTGTGGCCACATGGTGATATGTGTACTTGCAAACTTTATACCCTTAGCACAGAGTGCACTATGGCTTTTTTACTTTTAGAATTTTTTTACAGTTCCATTTAATGATATCAGTACGCACTTCACAAGTTTTTGTTTCTACATAAGATGTGCATGTAAAAAAATAATAACAGATGTTGGAGTGTACACTGCATGGCACATATGCATGTGTGTGTGTGTGTGTGTGTGTG